ACATTTGAATTATAAATGCTAACAGGAAATATACAGCTTTAAAACGAGTAGCAAAACACTGTTGGCCCTGTAACTGAGTGGTGATAAGCTTTGGAAAACTAATTTCTAAACAAAGATTTTAATGTAAGCATGCAGAATTTCAGTTTTTATTGTTTTTATAGAGTTTGGATATGTTGTACAGTATTGGAATTATATACTTAGCCCTGGATCTTCCTGCACAGGGCACGCCATCATTCAGTAGAGTCACCACTGGAAGTGGTTTTCAAGTTTTCTGACAAAAATAAAAAAGAAAGTTCACCAACAATGCTTCTTGATGTGGAGACCAGCATGTGTCAATCATCTACCACAACTGTTGTCCTATCTGTGACCATAGCAGTTCTTGTCGCAATTGTTGTCACTCAAACAGCTGTCATAAGAAAGTTGCGCCAATGCAAGAAAGTGAATAAAGGTATGGAAATAACAACCACTCTTATACCAGATCAAGAACCCGACTACATTAATGTCAAACAATCGACTGATAACAGGGGTTTAGAAACGTATGCAGACCTGATGCCTAGAGAAGAAGCTAACTACACTATTACAGAATCCCCAATGCAAGATCTAGAAATGATGACCACTGTACCAGACCAAATCCTTACTACATTAATGTCAAACAATCCACTGCCAATCGTATGTCTTAGTAATAATAAATGTTTGGAAATGTAGACCATTTCAACAATTCACATCAATTTCTGATTTCAAAGCTCAACTAGCAAAATACTTCATCTCAAGGTACTGACATGTTATCTATTTTTTCCTAATATATTTGTGTAGTTTCTAATGTGATAATTTCTTATATAATAATTTTATTTACTGTCCTAAATCCTAATTGTAAACATCAAATCAATGATTTTAAAATTTTAATTTTTTAAGTTTAATGTTTCAATTGTTTGGATCTGTTGTATTTGACAGATGCAATAAGAGCAGTTTTTCTGTTTAGGTTTATATCTATTCCTTGCTCTTGGCAAGATTGTATTTTACTTTCCAAAATAATTAATATTATTTTTAATAATAGGAAGCACAGCTCATTGCAGGACCCTAACTTCAATAATTACAAAAAATACAATGTTCCAACAAATCTACAGTACTTGAAAGAAATGTTCAAAGAAAACAATGAATTCAGTAGACTGTTTGAAAGAGTTCATATAAAAATAGTAAATCAGTTCTGCTTTTAATAAATAATGATACAGAGATCTGTCTTTGTGACAAGAAAAGAGAGTACAGAAATCCCTAACAATTAAATTCAGCTTGGTATATTCTGCTGTTTGGTGTAGTGAATTGTAGATACTTGAGATTATCCTATAATACAAACGGATAGGAAAAATCTCCACTACGATCCTATCCCTACAACACTACATACTTCGCTAATGGCATAATTACCTAGGCCGAGGCTTGTACCTCTCTGCAGGCAGCGTTTGAAGCTTTAAATGACGCCACCTATCGTTGAGAATTGTAAAACATCGGGGGAAAATATAAAATTTCTTTCTTTGTAACACTGTTGCTTCCCCGTAATGCAGGTAGCTGTTAAAGCCATCAAGTGGTATCAATTTCAATTTCAAGGCAGTTCAAATGAAATTGCGCAAATTTTAACTGAATTATCGGGTGTATTTTCAATGCTTATTCATCATAAGTGAACTGCATTCCAATGCTGTAATAACTCGAAAATCAACGTTTTAAGATTATTTTTTTTCATAATAATTTAAAATGTGTATCGTAGAATCAGCTAATATTATTATTGTTATTCGCGCGTACTACTGTACCGACATAAACATTTGTACGAAGTGACAAACCAAGTATGTAATATAGTAATGATAATAATAGTTGTAGTAGTTAATAGTAATAATAATAATCACAAGTTTAAGCCTACATATCAATTTAAGGATATACATACATGAATATTGCAATACAAATAATAATTGTTATCATTATGATGATGATAATAATATATGTAGGTCGTCTTTAGGTATCAAAAAAAAATATTTATTTTTATTGCCGTGTTCAAGTTAAATTCATTTTAGCAATGAGTTTTGAATTTATTAATAAATGGTAATTGTATTGTCATCGTCGTTTTACGGATAATGTATAATGCATGTATAATGTATCCGAAATTATGAAGACACATAGAGTACAGTACAAGAAATGATGAAATACAGTAACAATATAATTAGTTGTCATAAATTTTGATCATTATTTGTATTTTCTTATAGAAAACAAGTCCCACTGTAGGTTAACTGAAATCAATTATGTTTATTTTAGTTTATTCGAGTCATCATCTTCATTATCGTCACCATTATTTAATTATTTTCATTGTTTGTCTTAATAATTATTAGACCTATCTGTACCTAGACTGTACTAAGGCATTTAAGTCCTGAATAAACAGATTTCATTTTGTACAACTACGCGTGACTGAGTGACAATCTTAAAAAATAAGGCCTACGCTAGACCTACAGTTTATTTTTGTAATCATAGCCTAATTATTATTTATTTCTAAAAATATATTTCAGAATTATAATAAAAAAGGGGTTCAAGTCTGTGGTGTTCAACTACTGTACTCTTCATTATAAGGCTTGCCAGTGAAACCCTTCGCCTGCATAATGCCTACTACAGTTCACCCTCCAATATTCGAGACCACCTTTAGGACCTGAAAAGTTGGGGAGGTATCGGAGTTGATCCCCAATTAGAGGGCTAGCTTTGTGTTAAAAAAACTGAAGATTGTTCAAAATTTAGGTCTTTAAAAGGTGGCCTTGAATTGAATTGTTTCAGTTTTGTGCTGCCTATTTTTTATGTTTTCATACCTGAATACAAATAAAAAATAAAAATATTATACAATGTGTATATTTTAAAGTATATTGTTTCAACCTTGGAGAACCACCAACATTAACTTGCTTTGCATTTTGCTATCCTATCCCCTTAGTTTTTTCAGGGAGTTGTTATAGTAACCAGGGGTTTATTTAAGAGCCGGCGGCCGGCGCATTCGATCGGCTACTACGATGTTTTCGCCGGCTACTTCAATCAATACTGTACAAAAATTAATACAAAAACCACCAATATAAATAGCGCAACAGGCCTGTAAAGAACCTTATTTAC